TGTAAACTCTTTCATATTTAATTATATTTTTTATTAAGTACACAACGGATTTTCTACAGTTGTTGTTCCTGCATGTCTTCAGTGCATTATAATCCTTCAGAAATCATCTGAATATGCTAGTTTGCTGTTTAAGAACTATTTCTTATAGTGAATATAGTGCTGTTTATGTAAATCATGTCAATGAATACAAGGTTCCAATAACAGCCTTTATGTGAAAAAAACATATTTGCAAAGCAAAGTAAAAGTTTTTACTGCTACTTTTAATCAGTTGGAGGCATCCTTGATTAATGCAAATAGTTATTTATTTCCAATTTTGTTTCAAAGTGATCTATTCTAATGCTAAAGACCCACTAAGTTTATTCCAATACTTCTCTGGCCATTTGACTAACTAAAACACAAACCAGTCGGAATCCAAAACCTAATTAGAGCCAGACAACTGGATCGATCGCATATCTCACACCCACAGGACAGCTTTTGTTTGTGATAAGGGTTATCACAGAGTTTCTGGTTTGTCGGGCCAAACTTTCTGCTCTCCAATAACATCAGCAGGTTATGAGGGAATCTGGAGGGGGAAGTGAAGCGATTCAATTCCATGTCTGCCACAATCCCCTGATAATCAGGCCAAACTAAATCAATTACAGAGAACAAACGCAGGTGATGATTTCCACCACCGCCACGCAGAGTCTCATCACAGACCTGGAGAGAAGGGTTTGAACTGACAGTGAGGCCATAATGGTACAGGGACAATAGATTTATTTATCCACTGATTCAATCTCAGAACCAAGGAGGTGGCAAAAATCTAATTAAATTAAAATAACAACAATATTATAGAGTAAAAAAAAAAAATCGATAATTTAATCACATTTGATAACACTAATGAGGTTTATAATCAGTGCTTAAACTGTTGCAGAGTCAAGAAAGAAAAACATATAAAGGAATTCTGATGGATTTTCATAATTAGGATTTGGAACCGATCCTAATCAGATCAGACAAAAAAATCCTCTAAAATTCTCTTAGAAACTAATGAGATCACACTGGACAAACTATAGCCTTCTTGACAAGGAAGCAGGGCAAAGACTGAACTAAAAGTACCAAAGTAATACTGTATTGCCAGTGTGGTTTTTATTGTCAAGTACTTTTTTGTGCGTTTTAATTGTTGTTTAAATAGTTTTTTCGTAGGGATAAACAATATATTTGCGGCCATATTGTTATCAGCTGATAAATGCTATTTTTAATGTTATCATTATCGGTCCGATGTCAAAATTAGGCCGATATCATTAATCCAATATATTTCATAATTGTACAGAACTGCCGTGGGCGGAACTTGTTCAGACTTGTCCAGTGCACTATAGTGGAGCTATTCCTTTAAAGTCCGTTCTTGCTTTGTGTGGCATTTTTGTACGTTAATAACTCGGTAAGTAACCATTTTCCTTATCATTATAGATATGTTTGATAAAGTGTCATTGCGTTTTTTTGGTTTAAATAGCACACGTGCAACTCGTTTGGTTGTTTGTAATCTAATATGATTATTTGTTATTATCAACGTGTTGCTTGCCATGTGTTGTTGATATAAGATTGTATTCAGTTTGATAAGCATATTTATATCGATTATAATGAGAGCACGTGATGGCTATTACCACACACAAATAAAGTGACTAGTGAGCTATCAGAGCCTTCACAGCAGCAGGGGAGAGGTACGCCAGTCACTGAATCCAGCATAGGGGTTCTCAACCCTTGCTACATTCTGTCTTTATATTTTGCACTGTTTGTCGTAAACTCATCTGTGCTCAATGCTCAGGTGTTGTATCAAAATCTGACTCCGAGGACAAATCTGACTCTGCTTCGTATGCATGCGGATCACACAACGCCTGCAGTTAAACTTTCAAACTCGCATCGGTTTATCATAAACCTTTCTTCGATCTTTTTTCCCACAATTGGGAGTAAGAACGAACATAGAAGCATTGTCTGATTGACAAGCAGCATCAACATGTGTTCAAAAGAATTTAAAACACCAAATGGGATGAATTTATGTCGCATTTTCTAAAATAATACTACCTGTATTTAGCTTTTTAAAAATAAAATCAGGTGTTTACTGTATAAAAATATAACATTTTGAAATATTTATATTTATATTTATCGGCTATAGTATATTTATAGTTATCGGCTTCCAAATCTTAAGTTATCTGTTATCGTTATCGGCTAAAAATCCATATCAGTGCATCTGTAGTTTTTTGTGTTCTTTTTCTTGAATAATACCTAATTTTCATATAGACTATTGCAAACCACTTAACTTATGGCAGGGAAATATGCATGCACTAAATATTGTTGTAGAAATAAAGAAATGGCAAGAAACACATTTCCATTTCATATCACTTTTTTCCATACACTTTTTTTCAAAATATTTCCTTCAAAAATGTCTCAATTAATATGCTAATCTGAAATAGCATATAAAAAGAACCAAAAAGTCAACTCATGAGCAGGAAAAAAATTACTTTAACAGTGATTTTCTTTGCTGAACCTAAAATAAAAGCACCAAAAAAAAAGAATTTACTGAAAAACATTTATCAAGTCAACTATCTGCGATTATGAGATAATTGTTAACTAAGAAAAGAATCTTATTATTAGGCATACACAGTATGTATCATTATTAATAAATAAAAGATTTAAATTACATTTTGGATATCACTGTGGCTTAGTGGTTAGCACTGTCACCTAATAGCAAGAAGGTTACTGGTTTGAGTCACGGCTGGGCCAGTTGGCATTTCTGTTTGGAGTTTGCGAGTTCCGTATTCACTTGGGTTTCCTCCGGGTGCTCTGGTCCCCCCCACAGTCAAAAGACATGTGGTATAGGTGAATTGAATAGACTAAACTGGCCATAGTGTATGTGTGTGAATTAGTGTGTATGGGTTTCCCAGTTATGGGTTGCAGCTGGAAGGGCATCCACTGTGTAAAACATTTGCTGGATAAGTTGGCGGTTCATTCCGCTGTAGAATAAAGGGACTAAGCCAAAAAAAAATGAATGAAATTACATTTTACTTAGTTTTGCTATTTTGAATGTTGTTGTTTTTTATTCTTTTTTTACACCTACAGCATTAATCTTTTTTAGATAGTTTTATTTTAATAGTATTATTAATAAGAAATGTTTTATCAACAAAAATTTAAATAACAACCCTGACTCTAGCATGTCACTGACATTTGAAGTCCTTGTCAAACACATTGATGTCAAATTCAAATTTAAAACTGTTCACTACAGAGTTCTGTAAAACATAATTGCAATTGTCGCTTGTATTTTGATAACATCCTTCATGAATCATTTAGTGAATGTATTAAACGAAAAACTGCATTTCAATCATAAAAGCTATTTATTTCAAGTTCATTAAAAACAGTTGCGATCACATTAAGCTAATGTGCTGAAGTCTTGGTCTTTAACAGAGAAATTTATTCAGCTATAACAATCAGAGCGAATTACTCCCATAATCAGCATTCTTTCTTTCACTATGCAGACAGCAGGCAATATTAACTCGCAGCTGAGAAGTTGGCCAGCTTATGGTTATTAGCTACTTGCACAGGAAATTGCTCTCATTAAAAAGACGGTTTGACTGTCAAGTTGGGAAATTCTGTAAAATCATTTTGTCTCAATTGGACTGAAGCGTGTATAATTGACTATAAGCTACTATTAAAGGCATAGCAGATGTCGAGTACACCAGCCGTATCTATTACTCCTCAAGATGATTGAAAACCCAAACCAATAGCCCACCGATCCCTCTGAGCAATCAGCCGGCTGTGGTCCTCGCAGCAGAGACCCGTGACTGAAATTCATTTTCAACACAGCTTAGAATCTGTTTTTCCAGTCGCAGCATTTCTTATCGAGATCAGCACGGTCTGCTCTAAAAGTAAAGACGATGATATAAGCATCAGCTGGAGGAGAAGGGAAAAAAACAAACTTTCACCCAAAGATGATCTCTCAACAAGAAATACAGTGCAAGCAACATATATTTTAAAAAATATGTATGTTCTGCTGTTTTTTTCTGCTGTTTTCATTGCTATGAGAACCCTGGGTGGGGTTTGTATGCTCCATAACAGGAACATTCTGTCTGCTACAGTACTGATTTAACTAGTAATATTACACATCACACACCATCCATAAAGACCAACTAAAGATACACTTCCTCTGGCAAGCAGGTCATGTAATACTTCTAAAAATACAAACATTAATTATCAATGGAAAGCAAAGACCTAGGGGTGTATGTTCGTGGGTTTCTGCAGGGACTTGATGCTCAGAGAATCTGACAACTTACGGCATCTCTACAGGAGACAGCTGAGCAGCAACATTAAGTGCTTTTGGCAAGTATATACTCACATATCTCATATATTAGATATGTACACTCATCTAAATATTGTAGAAAATTTGGTGCATGTGAACTGCTTCTTTTACATGTTTATAGCCTGTATAAAAATGTAGGGTGGCAATTAAAGGTTGCAAAATTGTGAATAAACAGAAAAGCCATTATAAAAGAACATTTAAGAACATATAAAGAATATTTAAGAGAAAGGTACGTAGAAGAACCAGTTTTGGTGAGAAGAACATTTCAACAGCAAAAACCTTTTTCATAGGAGAAACGTTTGTTGAGTGACGTAAAATAAACGTTCCATATGTTGTAGTTTCCTCAAAGAAACGCCAATTTTAAAGCCTTAATTTGTTTGAGTACATACAGCTTCTTTACGAAGCCGTTTTACATGCTAGTTCTTATAGAATGCTAAAGGCTTCGCTTTTTCTTAGGTTATCAAAACAGATTAGCTGTCCAAAAAACTTTTCTTCATAATAATTCTAAACAGCTACCTCAAGACCACTTATTCAACAATTATTCTGAAAACCTGAACCTTTATCTGGTGAAATAACAGCCTTAATGTGGTCATTACAAACTATAAAAGCTATAAAATTCGATTAAGCTTACACAATATTTATTTTTAAATCGAAACAAAGTGATTCAGTGTCATACCTGCACGAGACGGTGATCTCCACTTTAGTGGCGGGAATATTCCCCGTGATTGGGTCGAACTCGCAAACTGAGGCCATGTCCTCCAGTTTATCCATAACGTCGCCTTCCATGGGCGCGCGGGACAAGATGAAGCTTTCTACTTCAAACAGTTTGGCAGGTCTGGGTCCTGCGGTGCTTGCTAAAATCTCAGAGCTCCGGCGGGGCGCGCGCAGGACCGCAGTGGGTGACACAGAATCAGCGTCTGTGATGAAGGCGCGCTGGAGACCGCGAACGCCCTGTGATGCGCTCAAAATATAGTGTCAATGATGTTGGCAGAAATTTTAAGATGATTATACAACGGGTTTGGTTCGCTAAATGAAAAACTCAAGGAAGAGTAGAAGTGTGCGCATCCTGTGACAGTGGTGAGATGTGTGTGTCCGCACAGTGTGTGGAGTGTAAAGTAAAAGAGCAGAACTCCACCCATCGCGCATTCTTTCACATATTCGAGGCTTTGCGCGCGCTCGGCGCAGCATCACGCTATTGATCCACCGCTATGGCTCATTACAGCAAGAGCTATTTCTCACGGCGGTTAACTTCTGAAATACAATTCTCAACCACACTGGGGAGGGAATAAAGGCAGAAATGCTGCAAGTAAAAATCTGGTAGTTCGTTGGTAAAATGTAGATTTTAAAAATACAATACATTCACTTTTACTGCAAATAAATTGCAAAATATTTTGTTATTTGCCAGGGGGGTTGACATGTTATCTTTAACGAGGTAACATTCATGCTTTAATGCAAATAACTTCAGTACAAAATCCACACTAAAGCCACAGAAATTGCTAGTAAATTTCACCAACAGTAAAAAGAAAAAGCATTGCATTTTCATGCTAGTTCTTCACTTCTCACATTTACCACACAACCAATATCCTATCAAGAAATTTTTTTTTTTATAAAAAACTGAAAACAAAACAAAAAATGGTTAACAAGAGGCAAAGAAAAAAAAATTTTTAATAGTTGTGCGAAACCTAAACAAACACACACAAGAAGAAGACTATTTGCCAGGTAAAATAACCATCAAAATGGGATCAAGGTCAGAAAACTGGATTAAACTTTAGAAATGTTTAACAAGAAATTATATTAGGGCAATGAAAAAACTTATTTGTAGTAAATATAATAAACAACTATAAAGAAACAATATAAAACATTTACAAAGCTCAATTTATATACTGGTTCTTTATTTAAAAAAATGAAAAGCACTGAAGTCTGAAAACTGTTATTTCTTGCCATATGCATTCCAATAAGCTTTATTTATAACTTTACATAAAGTTCTTTTATATTCATAAAAAAGCATTACCCCTAATTGTACTGTATGTGGAAAAATGCCAAAATCCCCTGAATGAATAATCACATTTCTATCCTGTGCTGCATGTAACTAATTAAACATAGCTATAATTAGAGAAAGAAAACAACATTAAAAGTTGTTTGCATAAGCTAAAATTACAGTTAAACTATTTTCTAGCCAACTGAGGCTTTTGTTGACAAGACACTTCAAACTACTTGCTGGTTTGTTATCAGCAAAAATGTCGAAAGAACTTGCATAATTATCACACAGAATCACTTTTATGTCTAGTGGGAGATGGAAATCTGAGTTAGAGCTGATAAAACGCACAGTGTGATACGGCCCACCCAGTGTTCGTCATGCTGCAACTGCATTTCAGCACCACAGCAATGGACAGCTCCTCCATCTCCATCCAACGCTAATTCCAAAAAATTCACCATAGCTGGACGTTATAGTTAATCACTTGTCAGATTTAATTACAGCTGCTATTGTCCACCCTGACCCAAAAGACCTTATGACCCATTTGAAAGCTTTTTCCCTAGAGACTCCATTTCCTCTAAGCGACTCAGTGGATAATTATGGGTGTTACCAGTGAAGGGCTGAAGGTGATAGTGTGTGGCCTGCATTCTGACTGGACGGCATGCTGGAAAACTGTACAATCCCAATGTCACAGAGATCCAGGATTCAGAGAGGGAGGGTTGGTCTGACTGACACAATGGTGTTGCACTGGTTTTGTTCACCAAGCCTTTGAGGCTTGGATTTAAAATGTGTGAAAGTGAAAATAGAAACACTACAAAAGACAGAATGGAGTGAATATAAGACAGAACGAGAACCCTCTCAAACTCTTGAATTACTCCACTGCTCAGACTGCATCTTGAGCCAGGAGTGAAAATGAAGAGACACTTCATTCAGAGTCTTTCCCCTTGGTTTGGACCCAATTCCACAGAGGACTTTACAGACTGACATCAAGCCCTGCCTTTCAGTCACACACACCGACAGATCAGACACAGACGCCTCTTTTCTCACCGCCTCCGTTAAATTTCCATCTCCAAAAATCACTCACCACAATAAATCAGACGGCAAATGGAAAACAAGGGGCTGTCACTGAACCAGCCAGGGCTCCGTAATTTCATGCCTTCTTGCATGGTGAAAACCATTAGTCAAGGGGCTTCCCCACAAGTGCCAACATTTATCCAGAGGCCAGTCCGCCTGGACACAGAGTAATGGGGAGAGGGTGTCAGAGATTCAGTGTTTTCTCAAGCTGAAAACTCTTGTAGTATTTGTCTAGATATCCCAAGCAGGTCATCCTCGCCATATCTGTTCACAAACCCAGAATGCAGCCCGAAACATCATTTCATCCATCACTTCCTAAAGAAATACAAGCCGCATAGTCTTTATCTTCGACCTTGGGTCATGGGATTCAGCGTGAGGTGCCTGTTTTTAGTTATATAGCCAGCGGGATTGTTGAAGCGGCAAGTCTGAGGCTACTTTGTGTTCATTCTGATCTGATCTCATTTTGTGTCACAATATAAAGTCTCTTATATGACATACATCCAAGAGAACGAGATAGAAGGTCTTTTCTTCCTGCTGCTTTTAGAAAGCTGCTCCAAGTAAACCAGTCAGTATTAAACTGTGAAATATAAACTAGTGCAATTTTTGTTTAAAAAAGTGTAACTACTGAATCGTCAGATATCCTTCTTTCTTTAGTGTTTATACACTGGAATGTATATATTTGGTGTCTCTGCTTTACATTCTGCAGATTTTTTGTTGCTGTTGTTGTAAGAGTTCATCTATTAGTCCAATGACAAAACTAACAGTATAGGTGAAGGTTAAATGTATGGAAGCCTTTTAAGCACATGTGGAATAAAAACATTTTTGTGTGTTAAAATTCATTTTGTTTCCAACTCCGAATATAATCTGACTCCAATTTATCTGATAAAAAAATTTAGACTCATCCAATTCAAGCTGACTACCTTATACAGTAGGTTGTGATTTGGTCTAATTTAGATCAATTACCCTAATAAATCCTTATTTTCAGTAAATGGTTCATCGTTTACCCGAAGTCGCTTAGCGCCATTATGCTGGCCAGTTACATATACTCACGTACACATCCTCGCCAGTTCTGGTTCTTAGATAGAGGATATAACTAATTTCCTTTAAGTAATATTAGGCCGCCCCAAGCTTGCACATACATAAAGAAAGTTTGATTTAGTCACTAGATTATATCATACTAAATTAGCGATTGCCAGAAATCAACAGGTCTCTAATGCTGTGCCTATGCTTCATCCATTATGCCTGAATGTATGAGCAATCCTGGTCATAGGCTGTTGAAACAGACTGCAGCTCTGCACAAGACGTTTGGCTATAGGAGAATTTCTTTTGAGGTTTTTTAATTTTTCACTTTCGCCAATTGGTGAAGTTTTTTCCTCGCTGCTGTGGAAACTGGCTTGCATAGTTCGGGATCTGTAGAGCTGCGCATCGATTAATTTGCTCTTCAGTGTTTGGACTCTCAGTAGTGATTATTAAACCACACTGAACTGAGCTAAACTGAACTGAACTTTAACACTGAAAACAGGACTTACACTGTTTCAATTTACTATGATCTTCTATGTGAAGCTGCTTTGGCACAATATACATTCTAAAAGCGCTATAGAAATAAAGGTGAATTGAATTTAATCTTATTATCAATAAAAAGCCAAAAGCAATTAAGACCAAATAATAAATTTAAAAAATAATTTTAGATTGTTAAACAGGATTATAGAATTTAGGTTTTTCAACTTCAATATTTAATATTAAATTCAGGTTTGTTATAATTCTGTCAAATATACCAGAGATTTCAAAGTAAAATTTGAGCACAATATATCTTTGCATGCTGTAGGGTGTTGACTAAACTGTGAGATGACAGGATGAAGCACTCTAAATTTGTTGCTGATTGTGAAGGGCCTTTTAGGCAGAGTAATTGACTGAGGAAAAAACTCAAATTAAATATGTATAGATTAATTGATTTTCAATCAGATCAATAATAGTCATTTATAAAACAGAGCAAATTTCATTATACGTTGACCTTATCTGTTGCTGTCTTATAGGCTCCGTTTTCCCTGGGTATTTACATTTGCAGTATTTACGTTTTCAGTAATTTGATCTGTCAGTGACTGGCATAACCACTGTTCAAACGCATCACTTGGGAAAACTTGAGCATGGATTTAGTTGAAACCCTTCCAACTTATTTCGTCACTCTCTACATCAATTTCACAGGAGCGCTCAGTGAAACGCACAAGCACTATTGAATGAACAAATCCATGTTACATGCTTTAGAAGTGAGCAGGAAACCTAGCAAAAGAAACTTGTACAGATATCAACTCTGGATTTGGATTATCTGCGTGTTTTGCTACAGCTAAGCAAAGCATGAGTGCCTTGTTTTGATGCGCTCTCTCACAACACATCCATTACAATCGCATAAGCAGTCAGAAGGCAGAGAGCAGGAGATGTTTTGTGAATGCACTTGACCACATTGGCGTACACATAATTAAATCAATTAGGCCTAATGAGTTTTTGACTATCACTAAAAGCCGATGGAAGCCTTTTACAGCCTCTTTATTACTGTATAATCCCCTTGTTGTAGATTGATAAAAATGCATCTTAAAGGGCACCTATGATGTAAAATTAAGCTGTTTGGACATAACTATGTTTAGGTATAGTGTGCCCACTGTCGTATTGGGGTAATATAAACACAAGAAGTCTCTTTTTTAATATTTCATGATGTTAAAAATAAGAT